CACCCCAGCAGGCAGAGACGAAGCCGCAGCACGCGGTGTGCGTGCACCCAACTCAGTATGACAAATAATACAAACAAGCGCGCATCTATAGATATATATATATATATATAGATATAGATATAGATAGATAGATAGATAGATAGATAAATAAGTATATATATATATATATATGCATGCGCCAGAGTGGTTTGTATGATGTCTCTGGCTTTGTTGTTCTGTTCGGGGTGCCTTAAAGCGTCTCCTTCGCTATGGCAGCAACAAAAATAAAAATTGAAGGACGATAATCTCTTGAAAAAGAAAGAGAAACTCAGTAGATGTTATATTTATTTAGACGCAAAATAATAGAGAAGTTTGTTTGCTGCTGAATGAATGAATGCATGAGGTGAGTTGAAGCAAACAACAAGAAAATGAAGAGCATTCACAATGCAGAGCTACTGTTTCTTTTTTGTATATTTACACTTTACTCTTTGCAAGCAGTGCCTGCGACTTTGAGGGATAAGCATAACAATTGCTGCAGAATAAATCTCTTTCTAGAGTGCGAGTGCATGCATCGAGAAGGGCCTCAATGAGTCTTCTGTTTGAACCTGCAGCTGCCCTTATAGGGATATGATAGAATAACAAACGCTTTCGAAACTCGTTTAAAACTCTGTCTTCTTTTCCTATCATTATTATATACAGGCTTTTCTTTAGGCAGTTGCTGCGTCTGTCTCCCGACAGGAGAAGAAGTTGAAGTGCGATTGAACTAAAATATTCAGAATGGTGTTAATGCTAAAGAAATACCATTCTAAATATTTTGAGTTATTTGCACTTTAAGGGTTTTCTACATTAAGTCGGAGAACTCCTCTTCAATGCAGGGTTGGTTGCATGTAGAGAGCTAGAAACCTTTTGCAGGCATTCTAAATATTTTGAGTTATTTGCACTTTAAGGGCTTTCTACACTAAGTGGGAGAACTCCTCTTCAATGCAGGGTTGGTTGCATGTAGAGAGCTAGAAACCTTTTGCAGGAAAAGGGCACTTAAATAATCTTAATTACTTGCAATTGATTAAACATACGCCTGTCTGCTGCTGTTAATCCTACACGAAAATGCTATTCATCTTTTTTAGGCGGCCTCTGTTGTTTTTCTCTCTACTCGCGGTGAGACAGCATCAAAAAGAAAACAGCGAAATAACAATAAGCAGCTGCAACAAGAACACCAGCGGTAGCAACAACAACAAAAACAAAAACAAAATCATTATTAGAAGCAAATGCACTTTTTACTCTGATATTCTTTAACTATTTCAATTCCTCTCGAGCTCGCAATGGTGATTGTTAGAGGTCTCAGCCTTCCGGGCTAAGTATACACAGCTAGTATACTGTTGATGTAATAAAAGCTAAGAGAGTATAATGAATTAAAATGCTTCTTTCGTTCACATTTTAATGCCAAACTTGTTTGATTTTATACCAAGAAAGCGAAATGTGGGGCTCAGTGGAGAAGGGCTGCATGCAGCTGCATGCAGGTTTTCCTTGTGGGTGCTGCGGGTCTGCAAGAGTTTCAAGGCGTCGTCTTGGAGTAAATTGCTTTACATTTGATTTGCTTTGCACGAGGAAGACGCTCGAGTTTTCTATTTCGAGTTGACCGTGAAAAGTAAAACGAAAATGTCTGATATTGAGAGCAACGGAGCCGCTGAGGAGGTTGCAGTTGAGCCCGAAGAGGAGGGCGTCAAGGACCTGAAAACCGCCATTAAGAGAGTAAATATTTGCATTTTCACGATTAAATTTTCATTTTATTTATATTAATTTAAAAATTTCTGCAAAATTCACGTTTTCAAAACATCATGTTTCGGCTTCCCCACATTGTCGCCGTTCGGGGAGAAACTTGAATAGGAGTTCTGCCCTTGCCTTTTGCTGTTTTTTTTTCTTGATTTGTTGATATTTTAAAGAAATGTAGCTGTATTATACCTTTAAGATTCAATTTTATCTTTGGAAGGGCGGTGTTTGGCTCTTGTTGTGCGGGCCGATGATTGTCTGTGGATTTGCATGCATTCGCGGGCTGAAACCATGCAACAATTTTTCTCTGATATTTCTCCATTCATTATCATTACGCAAATCTTCTTATTTTGCGAGTGCCTTCTTCTTGTTTTGTTATTTGTAGTATCTTTGCTTCGCGTCGCTGTGCTTTTGGGCATGCATTCTTTTCAGGGTGTCTGTCTGTTCTTTACATTTCTTCTACCCTGTTTCTTTTTGTTTTGTTCAGGTTTTGAAGAATGCGTTGATCCATGATGGTTTGGCTCGGGGTCTGCACGAGGTGGCGAAGGCATTGGATTCGAAGAGGGCGCAGGCATGCTTCTTAGCAGAGAGCTGCTCTGAGCCTGCATACAAGAAGTTGGTGGAGGGTCTATGCAAGGAGCATAAGATTCCCCTTATTGAAGTTGCAGACAGCAAGGAGCTCGGCCAGTGGGCAGGCCTCTGCCGCATAGACAACGAGGGCGCAGCACGCCGCGTAGTCGGGGCTTCATGCGTTGCTGTTACAGATTTCGGAGAGCAGAGCGAAGCCCTCACTTTCCTACAGGGCCACATTCAGTCTCTCTCTCAGTAGAGGGTGTTGAATGCTGCTGCATCTTTTCGTTCTTTGTTTGTCGTTGCAAACAATAACGCAACTCTTTTAACTCCTTTCATGTAGCTCCTGTTCGCAGCCTCTTCGCCATTTCGTCTTCTGCAGTTTTTACCTTTTTATTGCAATTTATGCATTTATAGGTATAAAGCCTAGAAGAAAATATAACGCAGAGTTGGGCTCCACTAGGGTGATGTGCTTGCACGCAATCAAACCTCTTCTTGTTTAATGTAGTATAGTATATATTAGATTACATTATACTACTTTGCCTCATACTTGTATTGTCCGTATTCGCCATGCGAATATACACTCATATATATATATATATGTATATATATATATATATATACATGTATATAATATATTTATATTTATGTAGTTAGTATTGGCTTGCACCTACTAGGGAGGGGAAAATGCCCCTCAAACTCATCAACCCGCTGCTGCCTGTAGTGAAACCCCTGTGAGCTTCAACGACTTCTGAGTTAAGAGGTTATGCTGATGATTGTAGAGAAATATCTTGGATATATTTTTGCTTCCCTCTTCGCTTTTCCGCTTATCATGATTGGAGGTAACTTGATCCCCGTAAAAATAATGTAGACATTTCATCGGACATGTTTATTCCTTTTGCGCGCTGCTCAGTCCCCTGTCTTTGTTGTGTGTGTTTGTTTGTTGGGTGTGAGGTGTACGATGCAATAGCTGTGTCTGCTGCAGTTAAATGATGCATGCAAGTGGTGAATATGTTGGTTAAGTTGTATGAACTTTGTAATGCAGCATGCGCTGCACTTTAAAGCACCAGATTTACTGCTGATCTGCAGATACACCTTAAATGTGTGTGTGCGTTATAATAAAAGGGGGCGTCCCCCAAGGTGGGAGGTTGGGAACTCTAGAGTTTTCTGGAGTTGCGCAATGTTGATTCGAGCATATTAACTGAAAATAAAAGGTTAAAAAGTATCATTATGAGATTAGATACGCTACCAGCATGTTTTTTCTGCATATGCTGAGGTGTACAGACAGTGCTGCTCTGCACGTTGGAGTGCCTTGGCTGGTGTGGCTCTTAGCGTCTCACCAGAGAACGAGGTAATGCGGCTTATTAAGGGTGAACTTTTCTTCAATTTTCAAAAAGAAATGAGTAAATATTAATTGGATTATCCGAATTAACAGATGGTTTCCAAGAATGAAGAAAATCACACAGCTGGGCCATACAAACAAACACAGGCGGCCTGGTCGTGTACGCGAACAGCGGGCATGCGGTGGTTCTTTCTGTGATGCATTCAGCGGGAGAAAGCTGGTGGTATTTCCATAATTTATGATTATTTCGAGGTAGCTTTCAATAAATTCGTTTGATCACTTTGAAATGCAGCTGTAGGAGAAGACTTTAGCGCGCGATTTCAGAGGAAGCACCAGAACATTTGCGGTGGTTCGGTGGCGGTGGCAGTCCGCTGTCTGTCGGGTGCGGATCTTCTTGAAGGGTTTGAATAACTTACTTGCATCTTTTCTTTTATTCTTTCTTCATCAGGGCCTGAAATTTGGCTTTTAAAACAGATCGGGCCCCTGCGCGCATGCCTGATACCCCCAGCCTCCTGGTATAGTACTAGGTCCTTAGCCTTTTTTCTCTGTGCTTCTTTCGCTGAACCTTCTCCCGCAGCACAATGGCTTGCAGCTGTATGAAGCCGAACTACAAGGGCCCCGGGGTGGGCATTTGGGCCCTTGCCCTGGCGTTTGAGTTTGCTGTAGGCGCACTGATGATCTTCTTGGGGTCGGACTCCGTACCCGAAATAACAGACAATATGAATGGCTTTGATGCCTCTATAACGGATGCAATCGCACAAGGAGGCGCAGCGAATGCTGTGTATATAATGGGGTGGCTGCATTTGTTGCTTGCTGCTGCATGCAGTGTGTTCGTGACGTTGGGGCTGTTCGTATGCGGCATTTTTATGTGCCCTCTCTGCATATTTGGTTGGATACAAACATTTTACTGCGCTGTCTGCACACTTGTTACGGGCATTTACCTCCGCAAGTACTTGGATAAGCTCCCCCTCTCCGCAGACACTATAATAGATCTACCTTCGGATTCTAACGATGTATTTGTTGCACAAACAGGAGATGTTTTCTTCGCTCAACTCAACAGCGGAGGCCTTCTTGCTGCCTGTGTTCTTTCCTTTGTCGCGGGTGTTCTCCTTGCAAGAGCTTCGAGGGTTAGCAGCGGCGAATCTGTTCCAGGAACGTCAATGTAAGCAAAAGCAACATTACTGCTGCTGCTGCTTCTGCTGCGGTTGTTGTTACTTCTTGCTGCTGTTGCTGTTCTGTTATTCTTTGTCTTTTTATTCTGTTCCAGCTGTTTCTGCTGCTGTCGATTCTATTGCTTTGTTGTTGTTTGATTGTGTAGTGGTGTATTGCTGCTGCATTTTTATCGCTGTTTCTGTGTTTATGTTGTTTTGTTATTTTTGTATTTGATGCCTTTGCAGTTGTCTTTGGGGTTATATAATATATATATTTATATATATTATATGAAAGTATGCGCATTTGTGTGTATTGACGTATATATATATATATATATATATTCATATATATAGATATATATGTGCATATATCCATTTATGTATAAAATATCTGTTTTAAAGACATTAATTTGTATGTTTTTGTTTTGTTTGCGTTTGTGCGTGTTGTTATTGTGCGGTGTATGTACAGGATGGTTCAAAGCATGGGTCTGTTTGCTGCAATTGGTGCATTGCTTGGTGCTGGAGGGGGGGGTGTTGCGCCTACTCCGATAATGACGACACTGTGGATAGTGCTTACAGTTGCTGGGGCTATATTAATGAACATTCGTGCTTGTTGTTGCACAAAGATATGCAATATATTGATGGTAGCTCTGTTTGGGGTTGGCTGCGCATTAGCTGTTATTACTATGATTTTCTTCTCTTATATCTACACTTCTGTCTTAGACGACCCTCAAAAGAATGCAGATTATTCTCAATTGTTTGTCGTCATGGAGAGAGGGACAGGAGTTATTCTTGTTTCTGTTCTTTCTCTCGCTGCTGCAGTTATGTCTTTCTTAGCTGCAGTGTACTCAGCCAGGTCGTTGCTCTGCTGCGGGGGGGGTGTAACGGAGTAACTCATCAACAAACATTAAATAAATATATAAATAAATAATATATATGCATTTATATATGTAAATATATATATGTGTATATAGGTATATGTATACGTTAATATATGTAAATATATATATATTTATTTATATATAAATACATATATTTACTTATTTATTTATTTATGTTTGCGTATATAAATGAACATCTTTATTTATATTTAATTATATAGAGTCTATTTATGCTATGTACAATATTCATATTCTATGGAGAGTACATTAAATAAAATTTATATATATATATACATATATATTTTTTAACATGCATATGTATGTATAGTACTTAAATAGTTATGTATAGATTTATATATTTATATACAAAGCCAAAACACTCATAAATGCATCACTGCTTTATATATAAATGCTGCAGTACAAATACTATAAAGTTGTGATTATATATTTATTATTACCGAAGTAATAAAAACAATTGCGCTGCATGCAAGACAAAAAGGGGTGAAAGTAATGAGATTATAGAAATGTTTGCATTTAAAGATACTCTCATAACAATAAATGCAATAAGAATGTCTTTATAGATATATTTATATATTTATATATTTATATTTATATTCATAGATATAATAAATTCTTATGAGGGATATATTGCAGTCGGCGGAGACGGGGGAGGAAGACAAACTGCACATTTAAAACATAAATTAATATAAAATAATATTCATAAACTAATATTTGCTAGACAAGTGCAGCAAGCGCCAGCAGCAGATAGACGCACGAGTGTCTCTGCTGCAGCTGCTGCTGCAGCTGCTGCTGCACCCTCTCTTCTTTTCTTTCGCTGCTGCTGTTGGGGCCCCCCAACAATTGGCTTTAAGTACTTCGCTTTACTCTTTGTGTAATTAGTAGTGGCTGGCGTTTAAGGGTTTAGGGTTTACAAGGGTTTATGAGGGCTTATTAGGGTTTATAGGGTTTGAGGGCTTATTAGGGTTTATAGGGTTTATTTGGGTTTATTAGGGGTTGTAAACTTGTAAACAACACCAGCAGCAACACAAACGAAAGAGAGACAGAAGAAACAGCTAAGTAAAGACAGAGAAAAAACAACAAACATATAAGTACAGACAAACGAAGGAGAGACAAGCAGAGAAGAGACAACTAAAGAAGAGACAAAGAAGAGAAACAAATCAAATGCAACAAAACAACACCAAACAAACAAAGCAACAAAACTTTAGTAGCAGTTCCCTGGCCTCAAGAGCGCAGCCTCAAGTCGTTCACCTCCAATTGCTGGAGGTAAAGAAGAGGGTAAATAACGCGAAAAATGTTTGTCTGGAATGTCATCATATTTAAAATTCTCGTAGTACGGGCTGTGAGTGAAGCTGCATATACACCCCAAGCAATAAAGAACCCCCCAAATATATTATAACTGCTATATGCATTAAGCTTATGCTAATGCATATATAATATATATATATATATATGCATACATATACATGTTTACTAACGCTTATGTAAATATATATATACATTTATTTGTTTATTTATTTATGCTTACTAATGACAAAGACAGCAGCAAAAAAGAAGTGTGGGGTGTGGGGTGTACGTACTCCGGAGGAAGAGTTTTTTCTAATTCGTTATCATCGGGATATGCACTTTGTTTTTTTAGCCATTGTTCAAAGTCAGAAGCCCCTTCATCCCACTCCCAATCTTCGTTAGCA